ATAAAACATCGAAAGTAGGTCACCGTGACCTAATTTTTGGTCGTCACTCTCCAAAAACCCAAGATGCATCAACTGACAAAGTTTGATGATTCTAAGCCAATAAATACCGGAAATACTTAAATATAGCCATAAAATGTCGAAAGTAGGTCACCGTGACCTAATTTTTGGTCGTCACTCTCCAAAAACCCAAGATGCATCAACTGACAAAGTTTGATGATTCTAAGCCAATAAATACCGGAAATACTTAAATATAGCCATAAAATGTCAAAAGTAGGTTACCGTGACCTAATTTTTGGTCGCCACTCTCCGAAAACCCAAGATGCATCAACTCACAAAGTTTGATGATTGTAAGCCAATAAATACCTAAGATACTTAAATATAGCCATAAAATGTGAAAAGTAGGTCACCGTGACCTACATTTTGGTCGACATTTTTCAGAGTCCCAAGATGCATCTCCTGACCAAGTTTGATGATTTTAGGTCTGAAGGTAATCAAAAAATGGCTTTAAAACAATTTGAAAACATATGCCTGCAAAATTCTAAAAGTAGGTCACAGTGACCTACTTTTTCTTAAATATGTTTTAAGGTCCCAAGATGCAGCAACTTACAAGATTTGATGATTCTAACCCTTTCAGTGCCTGAAATAATGGGATTAAATGTTTTAAAAAGGTTGTCATAAAGTTCAAAAAGTAGGTCACAGTGACCTACTTTTAGGTTGACGTTGTTCAAGGACCCAAGATGCATCAACTGAAAGTGTCCAAAATATGCCTTCAAATCAATTTGAAAACAAATGCCCCCAAATTAAAAAAGTAGGTCACCGTGACCTACTTTTGAGTTAACATGATGTGAAGTCCTAAGATGCATCAACTTACAAGATTTGATGATCCTAGCCCTTATAGTAAGCAAAATATAAACATTTTTATTAATTGTAAATTTAGGTCAACTTCAAAGTGACCTTGAGGCCACGCCCTTTGCCCCAGGGTCATGCCTTGAACAATTTTTAATCTTCAACATATCCTGATCCTTGTATGTAAGTTTGGTGAAAATCTGCCTGGCGGTTCTGGAGAAGAAGATTTTTTAGCAACTAGTACTTTTGGTTTTGTTTTCCTGATTATCTCCCCTTGTTTTAGGGTCCCAACCCTTATTTTAGTATAAATGGTAGCCCTTGGGCCAAGGATACCCTGTGGCAAATTTGGTACTGATTGGCCAAAGGGTTCTTGAGTTATGGCCCATATTCTAAAAAGTTAACGCACACCGCACACCGCACAAATGGCCATAGCATTAGCTCTTTGAGCCTTTGGCTCAGAAGAGCTAAAAATGACACCGAAAATTCTTATTCATCTTCTTAGAGAAAAAAAAAGTCGGTCAGCTTTTGACTTATTAATGATTTGTAATGTAATGCCCTGACAACCCCATACCGGTATTTTGTTTTTGCTTTAAAAAGACTGTAACATGTATTTTCTAACTTTTCATGTCTGGTCAGACAATGCAGGCAACTATAAGTTAACAGAGATGATGGCCCTCCTCAAGTCATATGGCAAGGTCAGGTCCTTCCTCTGTGAAGCACAAAACGGCAAGGGCCCGTATGATAGGTTTGGAGCAACTTTAAAGGCAGCTCTCCGCCGCTTTGTGAACTATGAACATGATGTACTCACAGCATATTCAATGAGATGTTTAATATCGCAGCGATTCCTCTAATCAGATTATCTTTTCTGTTAAAATTCAAAATACTTGAACAGATGATGTGAACTTGTTTTTCCCCAAAACCTAGATTGTGTCATGGTGCAGTACTTTTTCTTTTGATGTTCGCCATACATTAAATCAAATAGAAAACCTTTGGCTGAATTCCAACGTACAAGGGGTGATCAAAAAGTTCGCGAACTGTCTCTATATCTAAAAAAACGGAATTCAGATTAGAAAGAACAAGTATATACTGACAAAACGTCAGATATACTCAAGCTGTAGTAAGTCAACTAAGAAGTGTCGTTAATACCCTTAAATGGTATAAGTTGAGGGCTATTGAGTTCAAAAATCTGTTGAATAAAATACATGTACTGGAAAACAAAATTCATATATTAAATTTAGAATAAATATAATTAATCGTACTACTTTTTAAAATGTATTTTCGTTGTCCGTTTCAGGAGTATCTTATGGCGCATAGTGACCGTTTCTTAATTCATTGAAATATTTTTTTTATGTCGACATTCAGTATTATTATACTTTAAACTACATACGTTTTTTTGTATTTTTGCTTAATGACGAACATTACAACATTTTATAAACAGCAATCCAAATAGCTTGTTACAAGCCTGTAACAAAAATTTCAAAGTGAATGAGGGAGGGGGCTCCATGCAGAGTCCAAAAATCCACGTGAGCACAGGTTGATCTAGCTCTGCGACATGTGTAGTACATAATCTGATAGATTATTCCGTTCGAGTCCATTAGAATTAACTGTTACAAGTATATTTTCTGTTACCGAAGCTGGAGATGGTTCGATTTTCTTAAATAAAAAGAAATGTATGAAGGAGAATTTAACATTAATTTTGTGTTAAGACACTCAAAATCAATATCAATTGCAGGCCCGTGGGAAGCAATTTCAGTTTGGGGGGTTCAGCCATACATCTTCTGGCTATGCATTGTACAATTTGTTACATGTAACGATAGGGTAATCTGCGTCACCTTTCAGAGTAACCAGTGGACTCGTCCAAGGATGCTTTGTCGGCGACTGTAAAAGCTACCTGAGATTACTACGCAGAGGAAAGCGCGAAATCTCTGTACACCCATTCTCAGTATTAATGTGCAATTGAGGAATTTTTGAGACCTAAAAAATTCAATTTGAGTGTACGCCAGATAAACCTCGTGCAAAGTTAAGGTTAGATAATAATATCAGATTAACATTGTAGAAAATCCATAGCACCATTTTGTTGGTTAAATAAATATGACAAATTGAAATAGATGCTATTTTCTCCTTTAAATCAGTGTAACTTATACATAACCGAACTTATTGGCTTAAGAAATAAAGAGTTTTGTAGCATTTTTACTTCTTTCCAAGTTAATAATATGTTAAGCTATACATTTTTTTCTGATGCAAGGGATATAATCAAAGTTATTGAGACAACTACAGCCGATATATGTGACCGCGACTGCGAAAAAGGGTCCAGATGCGGCACACGTCATAATGAGAAATCGGCGATAGTTCTGAACGTTTGCGTCACAATCGAAAAAAAAATAACGCGAGAAAAAAAATATGCAGTACACGTGCTTCTGAAAAAGTTTATCTCTGTCTCGTATTTTAAAGTGTTAACTATGAATTTGAAATAGATTGTTGTAATGTTTTGTAATATATTTTATTACGTTTTTTTTAATTTGAATTTACCGCGGGTTGTAAAGAGCAATAACTCTGTCCATAACAGCAGACGTGTTTACATTTCCGGTTGAAAATAGATTGAAAGTGAAAGTCACAGTAAAGTTGTAAACTGGAAATGTAGGGAGTTCAAGCACTAAACATGAGCCAAACATCAACAGCAACATCGATAAGTATACCATCAGAAATTGTTCTTTATCAAGATGATGAATTTTTAGAAGATATAGAGCGTGTGGATGAATTATATTTCTCTAAACTTGTTGCTCCAAAATCTAACGTGCGCGACAGACAGTTTTGTGATCTGTCAAGTGACAGCGAGACAGATACGAGTGATTTAAACTATGATTCTGACTCTGAAAGCGACAATGACAACAATGATGGGGATGTATATATACCGAATGAAGTTAATGACACCGACACGAAGGAATACATAATTCGTTCCAAATTTCAGAATGACACTTGCGGGTGTAAGGAGTTTTATGGAATGCCATGTAGCACGAAAATTGACTTTGATGCAGCATGTGAGTTTCGTGATCATTGTCTGCAGTGTACTCGGGAGGAACTTGACACTATAATTAAAGTTGAAATGTTTGCACATAGGCGATCTGGTTCTGTCACACAGTCCAAGAAACACAGAGAAAAAGAACGAGAAAGACCATTTCAGGAGTACTACTTCAATGGATGCAGAGTGTGTCGTACAACATTTTGTTTTGTACATGCGGTTGAAAGAAAAAAACTCCATAAAGTTGCCAGATCTCTTGATACAGAAGGGTTTTTACCCAGAACACATGGAAACAGTGGTAAGGCTCCGCATAATAGCTTATCAGTGACAGACAGGGACCGTATCAAAACATTTATTACCAAGTATGCTAGTGACCATGCCCTGCCTCTACCAGGCCGACTGCCAAATTACAAATCTGAGAAAGTGCTTCTACTTCCATCCTATACGACAAGTGCTGACATTCATGCTATGTATGAGATATAGCTGAAGAAATGAACTTCATAAAAGTACATCTAAGTATATTTTAAGGGCATTTCAAAGAACTTGGCATGAGTTGTGTCCACTTATTACAATCATGAAACTATGCACTGACCTGTGTCAGCTTTGTCAGCCTTTCTCTCATCAACTTTCTACAGTTTCCGATATGCATGATGAGGAAAAGGAAGAAATCCTTTCTAGTTACACGCAGCATGTTTCCCAAGCTAAACAGCAACGGGACTACTACAGACAGCAGTGTACCACCAGCAAGGAAGTGTTTGTTTCCTTACCAGAGGAATGTAAACAAACTGGTAAGTTAAAATTTTATTGCAAAATTAAATTTTTTCCTTTAGTGTATAGTTACAAGTATAGCATTAAATGAACATTCATATTATATTATAATTATGTGATTGGATTTAGACTATTATCAGCCTCGGTAGCTCAATGGGTAGAACACCTGACCAAGGGTCAAGGGTTCAATTCTAGCCATCCATTTTCTCCTCTTTTTCTAAGTATTAATAGGAAAACAGACATATCAAAGTGTTTGCAAACATTTCTTCTGTGAAATTGAATTTCTTTGTTCATGAAATAGTAAATACTATGAATAACTATCAATGCATACAAATGATCATGAATGATTTATTTTATTAAAGGAAATGCTCCATGCACAGTTGATGTGCAAATGCACTATTCCTGGGACTATGCACAACAAGTGCATTTTCCACATCATGCCCAACAAGTGGGACCAATATTTTTTAAGACCCCCCGGAAATGCAATGTGTTTGGTATATGTTGCGAGGGTTCAGGTATGTTAATTCATAACTCATTATATATTGCTTAGTTCTTCAAATCATTTAGAAATAACTGTACATGTAATTCTTATAAGAATTTTATTAATAAATTACCTTTTATGTGGAGATCTAATATTTGACAAAATAGTACAATCTAAAATATATATATATATATATGTATTAAAGGAGGATACTCTTTCAAATATAGAATAATACATGTATGGGACTAAGTCTGAATAAACCAATTTTAGTTATTATGAATTCTATTAAATATAGTTGCAGCAAAATATTAACACATTCTATTTTTGTAATAATGCATACATATAAGGTAAATAAACAAGTCGATGGTTGAGTTATTTAGTTCTGATCAAAATTTTTGTTTTTACTTAAATGGCAGGAAAACAAGTGTTCTACTTGATTGACGAGGCTGAGAACACAGGGAAGGGTGCTAATTCTGTCATTAGTATGGTTCATCACTTTTTTCAGTACCATGGATATGGAGAAAAAACAGCATCCATTCATTTCGACAACTGCAGTGGGCAAAACAAAAACAACTTTGTCTTATGGTATGCTCTATGGAGAGTTCTTGTAGGTAAGTGTACATCAAATGAAAAATATTTGATTTTAATTATTAAAATTTGTAAAAGCTTTGTTTGATATTCAGTATGTTTATGATGTTCAATGCCCAGAGTGTTACATACATGTATGATGTCAGTTTTGATCGTCAAGAAATGCAAACTCTTAGTAAATGTAGCATTTGTATTTAAACTAAGGAGTGTATTTCCTTTCAATTAGGACTCCATGTTATTGTGGAATATTCTATGATGGTGGCAGGACATACTAAATTTGATCCTGACTGGCATTTTGGAGTCTGGAAAGTAAAATGGCGTTCATCTACAGCAGAAACCATGAATGATATAGCAGACACAGTCCGTCATTCATCCCGCAGAGGCCATAACATTCCTCAGCTCGTGTCAGATCCACAAACACCTGTGCAGTTTAGGGACTGGAAGTCGTACCTTGAACAGTTCTTCAAACCCTTGAAAAACATTAGAGGCTATCATCATTTCCGAGTAAGTGCTGAGACTCCTGGTGTTGTTGAATGTAAGGAGCTCTGTGATTCTGTTCCTTTGTGTGTCAATCTCCTGAAAGATCAGAATATCCTTCCCTCCGTAAATGATCCTCTGCCTCAAGAAATCCCAGCACCTGGTCTTGAGCCCAAAAGGCAATGGTACTTATATGAGGAAATCCGTGAACATTGTTTATCACTCTCCGCTAAAGACACATCATGTCCAAAACCAGTCGTTCCAAAGAAAGAGGTGAAAGTTTATTCTCCTGTTCATTCCACATCACACTTGGGGAAAAGGAAGAATCTTCTCCTTAGATGAAGGGGAATATTATTGAGTGTAAGAAAGATTAGAAGTAAAATGTATACATGTAGTTCCTGTTGTATTACTCCCAGTAATGTGTTACATTGATGTACTTTTCTGTCCATTGAATTTCATTGCTTTAAAACATTTGTTGGAATTGGTACGTTTACGCAACTGTTTACATAAGCTGTGTCCTATGAGTAGTGTTACATCTCAACAGTTAAAAAAATGTGTAACAGTATGAAAATTGTTAACTGATGTTTGCACCTTCTCTGTGACATTTTCCTTTAAATGCGCTTTTGATATATATTTAGTATAACCATGCAAAAATATTACAATTTTATTATTTGAAAGCTTTGTCAAAAATGATTAACGACATATTTTTAATTTTCAAAAGATATCATTTTCACACTGCCCCCAAAAATTTGTTATGATTTTTATTCTTAATACTGTTGATAATGTTAAGAAAGTACAGATGCATGCATCTGTAATATAACAGTACATTTTATCCATAATTTGTATGTTTGCAATATTCAGAGTGTCTGTTTTAAAAATAGTTACCTGCTATTCATATTTTTGTGATTTTGCTTACAGCTGTCAAAGAACCTCTGTCATTCTGTAATTTATGTGATTCCTGGTGTACTTTGTCATACCTACCAATAATAACTTTTTTTGTTATTTTGGAATGTAATTTCGATTTGCATATTTATCTTGATAATAATTATTGTGCATTTCTCATGTTTCTAGAGTTTATTTTATTGAAAATAAATGGTTGGATTATTTTGTTCATTATGCATCTTTTCTTCCCTTTCTCTTTTTGGTCATCGATGCTGGTAGGATAATAAGTCAGTCTTCTGAATCAAGTTCAGTTGTTTCAACAGCCATATGTAATAAGTAACAGTCATATGTAATAAGTAAGAATAACAGTATATATATTTAATGATTCAGTTTATTTTCATCATATCTAAGCAAAATTTTAAGAAGAGTTGTTTAAAGAAAAAGAAGAGATTGTTTTTAATATACCAGTAGACTGAAAGTGTTCAGATATGTTTTCTAATTACGACGTTATGGTAACGTCACTGACGTTAGGATATGACTTGAAGATGCCTGCATACCTGGGCTTGTATCTTCTCTATTTTCAATGATATTTGCATGAAATTTTGAATTTGTGTCATTCAAAGTGTCCTGATTTAAAAAAGACAATAAAATTAATTTCGATTTTTTTACTCATCTGGACCCTTTTTCCCAGTCGCGGTCACATATAGCGTTGATAGGGCCATCGAAAAACATGATTTACTATAAATAAAAGATGCAGTATATTGCAGTTACGTTCTAACTCTTATTGTCTAAAGAAAAATTATTTCCTATATTAAATTATTAAAGACGATGAAGACAAATATAACTTCTTAAAATCATTTATTTTTGATTTGGCGATTGTGGCCACGACCTACATAATACAATATATATTTTATTAATCGTTATAACTCCTTATAAACCTTATCCTTATAAACCTTATATCCTTATATATCCATATAAACTTTATATCCTTATCCTTATAAACATTGTATCCTTATCCTTATCCTTATAAAATCCTGAAGATTTGAATACTGACAACATTCAAGCTGGTACTGGGTTAGCAGATACTCAGCAGAAGTTGTGAAAAAATAATTGTATCATGGAAGGCGTTTCGATTTCAAATGTATGACATTTGAAAGAAATTCAAATAAGATCACATGACTGAATCAGCAAGATGGTAACTCACCGTTGACGTCCGAGGTTATGTGCGAGGTACGAGTCATCCGAGGAACTCCGAGTGGAAGGATAGAGCGATATGTGAAATTTTAAGTTGGTCTTTTACTACTGTTCAATGAATGTTGACAGAATTAATTATGAAAAGAGTGAGTATACGATGGGTACTAAGGGTAAGAAAATGAAATTTGTTATAGTGTTCGTGGATATCATATTTCAAACATTTTTTAATGAAACGAAGGGAAGTGTTTAAATGTATGACGGCGCGTAACCGTCATATGACGTTATTTAGCTGCGGCGACTACCATAATCGCACGTTGTATATAATCCGATATTTTGAAAAGTATAAATCATGTTGAATTGAAATTTTCAGGTTTGATTTGAAATAAATGTAGCTTTTATCATTTATAATTTTGTTGTTTTACGTCGACGGATAGCGATTTTATCGAAGTTGTGACATTGCTTTTGGATCGACCCTCGTACACTACACTAAGATACAAAATTCTGTGTATCGGTTTTTGATTTCTACCAACGGTGTTGGCGTTGTTACTAAAAATAGAAATTTCTGTGAAATTCTTTCAAAATGCTACTCCTCCTACAGTTTTGGTATGATTTCAATATAACTTGGCACACAAGTAGACTACACTAATATACATGGTTTTTGATTTCGACAAACGGTGTTGGCGTTGTTACTAAAAATAGAAATTTGTGTAATTCTTTCAAAATGCTACTCCTCCTACAGTTTTGGTATGATTTTATTATAACTTGGCACACAAGTACACTACACTAAGATACAAAATTCTGTGTATCGGTTTTTGATTTTGACGAACGGTGTAGGCGTTGTTGCTAAAAATAGAAATTTCTGTGAAATTCTTTCAAAATGCTACTCCTCCTACAGTTTTGGTCTTATTTCAATATAACTTGGCACACAAGTAGACTACACTGAGATACATAATTCTATATATCAGTTTTTGATTTCGGCGAACAGTATTGGCTGTGTTACTAAAAATAGAAATTTCTGTGAAATTCTTTCAAAATGCTACTCCTCCTACAGTTTTAGTATGATTTCAATATAACTTGGTATATAAGTAGACTACACTAATATACATAATTTTGTGTATCGGTTTTTGATTTTGACGAACGGTGTTGGCATTGTTACTAAAAGTAGAAATTTCTATGAAATTCTTTCAAAATGCTACTCCTCCTACAGTTTTGGTATGATTTCAATATAACTTGGTATATGAGTAGACAACACTAAAATACATAATTCTCTATATACTTGTTTTTGATTTCAACGAATGGTGTTGGCATTGTTACTAAAAATAGAAATTTCTGTGAAATTCTTTCAAAATGCTACTCCTCCTATAGTTTTGGTATGATTTCAATATAACTTGGCACACAAGTAGACTACACTAAGGTACATAATTCTTTATGTCCGTTTTTGACTTCAATGAACATTATTACCTTGGTTAAAACTGAACACGACTCGTAAATAGGCATACGCCATTTTTGATAAAATAATCTACGATACATCAATACTAGGGTATACTTGTCGCATTTGTTACACCTGACTGCTTTATTGTCACAGGTATCGGCGTGGAATGGCGACCCGTGTTCGTGCAGGTTATCTTGCATTACCTTTGTTTATTTTATTGCAGTTAGGTTTATCTATGTTGTTTGTATACTGCACTGACTTATGTACCTATAATTGTAAATTTATTTGGTATCTTACTTCCCTGCATTAAACGAAGTATTATGTTATTATTTTCGCTACCAGGTCCTGCATAGCATACGTCCGTCTACACTGGTGTCCACTGATTACACTGACTAGTCTCTAATTCTTGCCCAATTTATAGGGGTCTGCAGGGTAGCATGTCTCGAGAATTAAAATGGCGGACACAATACTTTTACGAATCGTGTTCAGCTTTAATAAAGATAGCAATTTCTGTTACTCTCAAAATGCTACTTCAAATACAGTTTATGTCTGATTATAATATAATGTGGCATGCAAGTACAGTGGCTGGAACGTTATTGTTGACAAACCAATCGTGTAGAATCGTTCGTGTATCGTGAGCGATCGTTCGTGTAACGTGAAAGATCGTTCGTTTACCAGACTCAATCGAGTGTGTTTAATCGTGCGAGATCGTGCGTTTAGAATCGTGTGAATTTCGTTTTGTAAGTTTTTTACGAAATGTTACATGTAAAATGAGCCTTTCCCTTGTTTGATTTTCTTAATTCAAATCCAAATAAAATGAAAAAGCGCAATTTACATAATAGAATGCAGAAGAGTGTGACTAAAATGGGTAGCGAAACCCGGGCCGGGCCGGGAATTTCAAAACTGAGAGCCGGGTTTTTGATAATTACGAGATAAATACTCATTCTTTCTTCATGAAATTTACAGACATAGTTTATAAGTATAGGTTTTGCCTTCGCTGAGAATTTTAAGTCAAAATGTTTTGTTTTTCGATGATAATCGCCGATTGTCCTTTTCCAGGTGACTAAAATGGGCAGCGAGCCCGGTTTACTCATTTTGGCGATTTTAGCTTAATGCATCGAAAGTATTTGTGTTATTTGCATTTTATGGTTGTTTATTAACTTCAAATAGTTAAATTATTCAATTATTATGAAATTAAATGTCAATTATTAGGGTTGTTGTCATTTTTCATAGACCCGGGACAGGTCAAAACCGGACGCGTTTGCCCGGGACAAATTAATAATTCCGGATTGCCAGAGAAAGAATGTAGAATTTTTTCAGTCCCTGACCGAGATACATCTAAGAAATAAATTGGAAAAAATTAATAAAACTATGCAAATCAAAAAAGAGTCATTAATATTTCAATTATATGTCATTATCTGATAAGTATTTCGGAAATAAAAGGTTTTTCCCGGGTGAACGTGTCCGGTTTCGACCAATCCCGGGTGTTCAAAAAATGCGTATATTTTCAATAATCGTGATTTATTACTGCAACAGTTAAATGTTTTAGGTAGTTTAAGTTCAATTTCAAAGATCCAAATGAAATAATTGTAAATATGCTGCCGAAATTAAGTTTAAATCGCCAAAATTAGTAATCCGGGCTCGCTACCCATTTTAGTCACTTGGAATAGGGCAATCGGTGATAATCCTTAAAAAACACAACATTTTGACCTAAAACTTTCAGCGAAGGCCAATCCTAGAATAATAAACTATGTCCGTAAATTTCATGAAGAAAGAATTAGTATTTATTTCGTGATTATCAAAAACCCGGTTTTCGTTATCGAAAATCCCGGCCCGGCCCGGGTTTCGCTACCCATTTTAGTCACACTCAATGCAGAACGAACTAATTATCGCTCGTAAACAAGCAATATAGTAAGTCGTACAATATGAAGTTCTCGTCAAATAGCGCGATCAATATTGTGATAAACCGTACTTCGATCTTAATCGAAGCCTTTATGAAAAATCTTATTTTAATTATTATTTGCTTTTTATTATGGTCAGGATATCATTGAAAATAAATAATATTTTTTTTTACAAAGAAATAAACATTTCTCAATGCCAACATGACTAGTTAGTCGACAAATTTACATGGACACGGCATGATTTTCGGAAGTTTTCATTATCTGTGTTTATCTCTTGAGCCTATTT